CACATGGATGGCCCGGTCCGCCCCCATTGCAAGACCGGTCCGGAGAGTGTCAACGCACTGGGCCGGGCCCATACTGACCGCAACCACCTCAGAGGCCCCGCCCGACTCCTTTATCCGGAGTGCTTCTTCTAATGCTATTTCACAAAATGGGTTCATGGACATCTTCACATTGGAGGTCTCCACACCACTCTGAGAAGTAAATTTACATAAACTTATAGTGAAATTTTACATTTTTTGGATTTTAAGGTTTTCTTTCTAGGGGCTATACCAACATACCTTGTCAGGCTTGACCCGTATTTTGACAGCGTAATCGATGACCCGTTTGATCGCTACCATGATTTTCATGGTTGCTCCCTGACTGCAAATAGTTAGAGAGAGAGTGCTTCGGGAAAATTGGAAGGGGATAATGCTCGATTAAGAGCGCTATTGGTTCAGAGCAAGATGTTGATCCCGTTTTTATGCATCTCGGAGCGGTTTTGATTAAACCGGTAAGCTTTCAAGTTCAGGAAAATTAGGACCGGCTCCCATGAATTACTATTAACTGCATATTAAAAGATAAAAATAAAATCAAAAAGGTCAAAAATAATATATACAAACTGATAAAAAAAAAAAAAAGAAAAAAAAAATCCAATCCCCCTTCCCCATATTGCTTCGCCTCAATCCCATTACTACTAGCCTACCAACACCATCGTCAGTCGTCATTGGCTCCATTTCCTCCACCTATTTATGAAATTTTGACCAAAAGAAAAAGAAAACTCAACCAATCAAAATCTATCATATCTCTATGTCATCATGTATTCTCTCTTTCTGCCATAATAGGGATGACAATGAGGCAGATATGGGAGGAATTGGCCGTTCCCATCCCTCGTCCCATTGGGTATTTTTTGTTATCGTATTTCATACCCATACCTATACCCAGTTAAAGTGGGATGGGATGGGGCAAGTTTCCGCCCCATTTATTTTTTCTTTTTAATTTTTTTATGTACTTAGTTAGTAAATAGTATGACTTTTTTACCAATTTGTTAAAAATAACTTATGTTCTCTTTAAAAATGATGATAAATATATTATTTTTGTTTCATAAAAACGGGGCGAGTATCGGGGAGGGGATTATGTTTTTTGTACCTGTCCCATACCCGCTTCAGGGCAGTGACCCTTGTCTCATATCCATCCCATGTACCCGGTTATGCGGGTATTACGCACCCCATTCGGGATAGAACCAACGAGTATTGGATTGAACGAGTTTTTTTGCCATCCCTATGCCACAATAAAGAATCCGACTCTAATCTCGACTAGGATGAGAAGCCGATGGTGGCCATGGATTTCTATTTTTAATGATAGGTTCAACTTGACTGTAAAGCAATTCGAGGCGTGAAGTACCCACAAAATTGTGAATACAAGATTATGCAATTAGGTTGCATTGAAGTATATAATCCAGCTATGTAACAAATTAGAAAAACAATTCAGTTTGACAAAATTATTCAAGACCAAATATTTAGGGCTTATTGCACCAAAACTAACCTCAAGGTCACCAATGGTTTTTGCCAAAATCTTTTTCCTTTTTAGGATCAAGAAAAGTTCGGATGAATTTCGTGAAGAAAATAGCACAAGAAAATTCAGATGAATTTCTTAAATATTAACCAAAAAGAAACCAATAATTCTCAAATTTTTTTTTTTTCAAGGAAAAGTTTTCATATTTGGTCAACTGAATGTTAATCGCAATATAATTGGTCAGTTGAAGAATTATTGGGCAGTTACCTTTTGAAGGTCCTTACTCTGCATACTTTTACAAATATTTGGAATGAATATGTCAAATATAAAAAGTTGGGGATCTGGCTCCTTTTTAAAAGTTTTGGGCCCTAGTAGCAAGTTTCTTTTAAAAATAGTTAGAAGCTTTCATTATAGATAATAGATTCTTAATGATCAAATTGTTTAAATCTTCATTAAATTATCACGAGACACTTGCATTTCTAACTTTGTGAATAGATTTTGGAAGTAAATTTCATCAAGTGACACTCAACTTTTAGTGAAATCTCGATCAAGTCGGTAGATTTTAATTTATCTCAAATGAATCATTAAACTTCAATTTAGTTTCAAATTTCACCACTGAATCACGCGTCGTTTCGAAACTATTGGGTCAGTGAATTTCAATTTAATTTCAAAATATACAAGTCTATCATCGTCTCCCCCCAAGTTAACAGGAATTGTTGAGTTAGGAACCATATTGCAACGGATTTTCTACATAATTGTTTTTCTAAACTTGGGTGAGTACCCAAAAAATTGAACTATAATATAATTTAATGAGAGTCATGAAAATTATATTCAACTAAGATTTGACCATTGAACTTCAACTTAATTCAAAATTTACCACTCTATCATATGTTGTCACCAAATTAAAAAGAATTGCTTAGTTAGAAGCCATACTGCAAAAAATTTCGACGTAATTTCTTTCTAACTTAGGTTGGTACCAAAAAATAAAAAATAAAAAAATTGAAGTAAAATATATTTCAGTGAGTGCTATGAAAATTATATGTAACAAAAAATTGGATCATTGAATTTCGCCTTAGTTTTAGATTTTACTGCTTTGTCATTTGTTGTCCCAAATGAGCGGAGTTGCTTAATTAGGAGCCATGCAACAATCAATTTTAAACATAATTGCTTTCTATATTGGGGTGGTATCAAAAATCTTGAAGTAAAATATAATTTAATAACAGTCTCGAAAAGTATATTCGATCACAGAAATTTACCAATCTTTCATTCGTCGTTTCCAAATTAACAAGAACTACTTAATTGAGAGCCATACCACAATGGATTTTCAACATAGTTGCTTTCTAACTAGGGTTGGTAACGAAAAATTTGAAGCAAAATATATATTGAAGTGCGATTTCATCTGCCCTGTCTTCAGCTGGGGGATTGGCATTGAATTCAGTCACAAGTGAATTAGAAGAAGCCTTGGCCAGCAGACCCGCAGCCATTGGGAATCCAAAGCTAATTTGCTCAAAAAGTTTTGTACCAATTTGCTGCTGGAGAAAAAAATTGAAGATCAACAGTACAATTTTTCCTTTAAGTTGAAGTCTGCAATAAGAAATTGATTTCTACAGATTCAGAATTGAGACATGAAGATGTAATTTAGCCTTTGTTTGGCCCAATTATAATGAGAGATTTGGATAAAATGTGTTATGGAATAGTAATTTTTGGGAAAATTTGTGATTAAAAAAAAGGAAAAGTATTTAATTTATGTGTAATATTATTTTACTAGAGAACGATAGAAAAAATGTATTAAAATTTTAATGGAGGCCAAACAAGAACTTAAGATAAAGATTTTTAAGGTAAAACCTAGACTTGAGAAACGAAGAGTCCAAAATGTAAATACCCATGGTCCTCCTTTTATATATATATATATATATATATGACTTCGAATTGTTGGACAGTTGGTTCAATGCATATGGGTTAGTAAATTTTTTTGGACTATGCTAGTGTGTCATGGTCATTTGCACAGATCCTAATCAGACTATGAAAGGGTGGGCATTTTTTTTGTCCTTAAAAAATGGGTGTAGGCCCCCTTGTTTGAGAGAGAGATTGGCTAATATCTGTGCACCAAATGTCAACACATTGAATTAAACCAAATCGTGTCATAGTCACACCTAGAACAAGCCTATTAAGAATCTCTACAAGAAAGAAAAAGAACATAAAACTGTTCACTAACAATTCTTTTTACCATTCTTTGAGTACCCTAATCTACACGTTAAGCATTGGATTAATCTGTTTCAAAACGTCACTCCATCACTTTCTTTGATGACTTCACAAGCACTTAAAAGACTCCTTTATTTCTTTTGTGTGTGGTTAGGTACAGAATCATACCAAACACACTTTCGTGGTATTTATGTACTGGGCACTTGGTCAAGTGTATAGATTGACAGATACAATAACGAATAAATAAGATGCTTTACAAGTTATAATAAAGCCTCGAAGATTTTGAAAGAATAATGTTATTTATCATCATTGGTATTGACCATCAGTCAAGATAGCAATTATATAACATTAATGATAGATGTTTAAATCTATAAAATGCAGTCATCTAAACTGATGTTCTGATACCATTGATGCTAAATAATATTATTCTTTGAAAAATGGTTTATGTTTCTCACATAATGCAAGGGACGACATGTGATGTAAATCATCACAAAATATTATGCCAATAGTTAAACAAAGTAAAATAAATAAAAATAAAGGATAAGTATTGAAGACAATATTTAAATGTCCATCTAACAACTCAAATTTTTAGACCAAGTGGTTTAGCAACAGCTCACAAAATGTACTACGTGATTAAACCGATCTAGCAAATGAACCTAAGAGTTTGGTAACACCTCCTATTTTAACCTCGTCAAAGTAAGTAAGTGAATGAATAATTTTCCAGGCTGAAAACTTCTGTAAACTACATCAATATTCAGTATTAGACACCAATATTCACAAAAGAAAATTCAGTAATCTGTCATTACAAGATAGGAATATTTGGTTAGGGGGATCCTTCTCTATCAACCTCCTATTCCAATGGAAGGGGAAGCCCCCACCACAACCACCCAACTCCGATACAGCAATGACGATGACAACAATGAACTAAATTTTATTTCAAATGAGATCGACTACACGAAAAAGCTTTCCTCACTATTCTGTTCTACTCATTGCTAAATTTATTGTGAAATCTAAATCAACTAGATTCTTAATTAACAAAACGAAACGAAAAAATTGAAAGAACCCTTAAATTGTTTCCATTCTTGCTCCTGGATTCCCTCTCAGCTATTAGGACAAACAGAACAGGTGTAATTATTGGATTCAACTATGATAAGATTAAAAAACAATGAAAAAAAGAAAGCAAATAAGGGCAAAAAGTTGTTATAATGATGCACATAATCATGGCTTCAAGTCAAATTTAGACTGGTGGTCCATCCCTCTAATGTCATGTGAAAAAATGAATAAGCCAAAAACAAAACTTAAACAGCAAACTGATATTTCTATTCCATAATACAATAATTATATAGCCCCTAAATAAATCTAACAAGCCTATAATCTCTATATGAATCTAAATTTACATTACTATACCAAAACATAATAACAATTCTGAAAAAGAAGAGTAAAGATCTGGCCTTATGGATCCAAAGGAACTGGTTGAATTGCACTTCTAGAACCCCTTCCTTGCCCAAAAGAAAAGAATGATCTGACTTTGTTGCTGCTACCTTCATTGGGGCATACATCAAACACTTGCTTGTTTTGTTGAACTATTTCTTGAACAGCTAAATATAGCTGCCTATCAGCTGCTGAATCCATAGAGAAAGATCTCCTCTTCATGGCTCGAACTACAAATTGTTCATCTTTCTGCCTATTGTCAATGCACTCATCTCCCATGCTAGAGATATGGCTTAATCTTTTCGCCTTTCTTCGTGATGCTTTTTGTTCGAATAACTTGCTTGGTGAAGGGCTGATCCATGATGATAATTCGCTCGAGTTTAATCTTTCTTCAACTTTAAGCAATGATGGATTGATGTTGGTATCGTGTTCTGCGATTTCAATCACTACATAATCATCTCTCCCGGTGAAGTTATTGGTATGGGGATTTGGATCTTGAGGGGAAGTGCTTGAGCTAAGAATTTGATCTATTGGGAACCTTATGTTGGGCCTGGTGGCTGAAATGCTAGTTCTGCATAAAGGGCAATTAGCATTGTTTTGAAGCCAAACGTCTATACAATCTATATGAAAAACATGGCCACAGTTTGGAATTCCTCTTAACTTTTCGTCTTCTTGAAATTCATTCAAGCAGACCGCGCAATCAATCACTACATAATCATCTCTCCCGGTGAAGTTATTGGTATGGGGATTTGGATCTTGAGGGGAAGTGCTTGAGCTAAGAATTTGATCTATTGGGAACCTTATGTTGGGCCTGGTGGCTGAAATGCTAGTTCTGCATAAAGGGCAATTAGCATTGTTTTGAAGCCAAACGTCTATACAATCTATATGAAAAACATGGCCACAGTTTGGAATTCCTCTTAACTTTTCGTCTTCTTGAAATTCATTCAAGCAGACCGCGCAATCGGTAGAGCCTTTCTCTGCAAGTTCTTGTTTATCAGTGCCTTTCTTGTACTGAAATGTTGGGATTGATCTGATTGCAGCCTCGTCTAGACCGTGGCTTTCGGCTGCGGGCGAATAAACCATTAAAGGGTCTTCAACACGCCTTCTCCTGGAGGAGGAAAACCGTGAAAGGAGATCAATACGGTGCCAATTCAAGCAGCATTTGATCACAAAGACGTAGTAGCTCACCAGCAAGAAAGCTGTGGCCAAAATGCCAATAATGGCAACTGCTATAATAGGAAAACCAGTGTGTGAATGATGCAAAGATGAGCCAAAAATTGATATTGGTGGGCTTCTGATAGGATAGACAGCGTCTGATTCATGGGCATAAAACTTTTGGCTCACCAGATCCATTGAGTCGATTACACAAACAGATAATATATCAGCTTCTTGAGATCTTGAACACAGTGTACATGAACATGTAGAATGAAGATTGATAAAAGGAATGTTGTCTCGTTTCAAGATTACAAAATGAAGTAATAGCTCACTGAAATAAATAATATATGCACTAGAAAATCAAGGAGGGCAAGAAAATCCTTGCAGAAAAGGCATAAACTTGGAGATGGGAGCAGAGGGAGGGACCAGAATGGGAAAATTTGGGTAGTTATTAAATGCCTGTACTATAGAAGAAGACATGAGAATTTAATGTATGTGGTAACTTTCTTTAAGGTGAGAAAAGAGAAAATTTAAAGAAAGTCTGTAGGTAGTTGGTGAATATTTGGCAAGAAACTTATCAAAATAATTAAAACTTTTTTCCTATTGTCAAAAGTAGCAATTTAGCTTAAATTAAAGCTCATACTCGTAGATTTCTGAAGCTTAATTATACTGTTTACTTTTATTCTAGACCGTATATCTAGGAGGTGTTTGGTGAGAATTTTAAGCCAATTAAAATCAATTTTTTGATCGTTATTTCACTATTCTAATTGTCATTTTTTAGGATCCACTTTTATCTCTAACAGTCAAAAAATTAATTCTCAAAATTCTTACCAAACACTCTCCTACATTCATATTAAGGTCAGCACGATAGCTTCCAAGGCTGATTTTTAATGTTATAAATCCATTCCTTAATCACGTCTCTGCTGTCATTTCAACAAAGTGAGGATGTTCTTAAATTTGTGAGTAGTAAAACTTCACTGTGTATAGATTATAGATTATATGTATAATGTAACCTAAATTTATATTAGCAAAGTACTTATTTTAAAATAAGAAGAAGTAAATTCTTTATGCTAGGGGATTGTACATAATAGGCGGAGGTCCCCCATCACCATCTACATTACGGGAGCTGACATTTGGGCACTGAACAAGACTAATTGTTTGGTGGAATTTAAAGTAGAATAGCGGAATAGGTATTAAATTTTTTTTATTATCACACGCTTTTCCATATATATGTAGCATTTCATAGTGGTCCAATCCAGAGTTAATTGTTTCAATGTACTTATGTCCATGTCTTTGATTGGTCATTGAACTTAAGTTTATGTCTTCGATTGTTCACTAAAATTTAAAATGTTGAGTTTTGACCAGTGAACTTTGAAAAATATTGTATATTACTTATTGTAAATTCGACATTTTTCAAAGTTCAACATTTATACTAGTGAGTAACGTACTACATTTTTCAAAGTTCAGTGATCAAAATTCAATATTTTAAATTTCAGTGAGCAATCAAAGATATTGATCTAAATTCAGTGATCAAAACTAACTTTTTAAATTTCAATAACTAATAAAAGACATTCAATGACCATTGGAATAATTAATTCCTCCAGAACGCAAATTGATAACAAAAATAGGAACACAGTAGATTTTTTCTAAACAATTCAATTCGATTCGCATGATTAATGAAGCAAAAGTTAATATTCAGGAGTCGAGTCGAGTCGAGTCCTGTCAAAGTACTAGACTCGTTGCTTTTAAAAGCAACTTAATTTCAAAATCTTTTGATGAATCTTATGTTGCAAAAATGATCGCAAAATGATTGACAACATTTTTATATTGTATTATTTCTCAATTAATTAACTTGTAATATAATTATCATTTTTTGGTAACCTAAAAGAGTTGCAAAACATAAATTTTCCTATCTACTAAACTCGTTGGCAATACAACAAAACTTGAAATCCTGACACATGGTATGATGAGACCTAAGAATGCAAGAAATGGTAACAAAAAGCTCAAAGGCATGAATAAGACATAATTGTCATTTGGTGAAAGCTTGACTTTAACACCAAGTATCTGTATTGGAATTTCTTCCCTTCTCATTTGAAAGAACAAAAAGTAGAAAGTAACTTTTACAAAAGGTTAAACCCTAACCTTAAGGGTCTTCCATCATTCCTGTCCTGGAGTATCGTGAGGGAGGTAAATCGCAAATTATACCTTCAAGGGTACAAGGTGGAAGGCTGCTTGTACACTTACACTTACCCAAGAGCCAAATCCATATTTCAGGATTCGAACCCTTGACGCAGCAGCCTCAAGTAAAACTGGATTTCTCTACCTTCCCCTTTTACCACTTGGAGATGTGCCCTGGGGGCTAGAAAGTAACTTTTACATATCCACATTGATGAGTGTAGACTATTACTGATCCCCGTTTGCCCCTAATTAAATTTCATCAAATTAAGTTAAATTAATTTTTTCTCTTTTCTATTCTCAACCACGCATTGATGAGTGTAGTAATTTTGTTTTTAGTAAACCATCGATAAAATATTTGGTCACTGTTCAAATATTATTAATCGATAAATTAAATTTTAACTGTTATTTTAGCATTGACTAAAATTTTCTATTCTAGATATTTAATATTATTATTTATACAAATTTATTTCAATTGCTTAATTTTTTATTTTTTTAATATCATCAATAGAAAATATGTTGATAAATTATTATTTTAACAGCGAAAAGTTTTGGTTAAAAATATTAAACTCCTCTCATTTTGTTACTTTATTACTGAAAATTTTGTCATTAAATAAAATCCAATCAAGATACTTTTTATATTATCACTCCCCTTCCCAGTCAAGGATTTTCCAGAGTCTGGATGGGGGTGGAAATTAAAAAATTATCATTTATCATCCCCTTTAATTAATTATTTCTTAATTAAATTTTTTTGTAAATTGCTAATATTATTTAAATTAAAAGACATAAAAATAAAAAGAATAGCAGAATTTGGTCATCCCTATTATCACCTAATGTTTGTTTTGTTATCGATGAATTACTGTACTGACCAATTTTTTGTTAATAAATTTAATTTTTAAAACAATCTTTTTAATACTTATCGCTCAATAATTTTTAAATCTATTTCAATTTTTCTAGTAAATCCATCAATTGTATTGACAAAATATCCAAGAGTAGCTCCTCATGGGGTGGCTGAATTGGTGGAGTAAGTGAGCACGAAAACTTTTAATCACGAGTTTGATTCCTTGTACAAACACTTTCTCTGTTGAGTCTGTCGTATAGGGATTGCCTAGTGCAGTTTACTTAACTGTCGTGGTTTGCAGGCTATTGCGTCCGTCCAGGGGTTTACCTAGTGCACAGCTGAAGGGTAGCAGCTGCGCGTTCCTCGTCATGAGAAAAAAAAATATGGGAGCTCCAAAGGTTACATCATCTTTAACACATATCATGAATTACAATTTAAGTGATGTTGGTGTCTAACAAATAGAACGTCAAACTTAGAACCAATCTCGAGTGGCCTATTTTTAT